GTGCAGTGATCAATTAATAGTGGAGGCTTATAATTGTAGCTTAAACCCTTATAAAAGGGATTAGTAAGCCCTACGTATTTTTTAATTCCAGAAATATCTGTAGATCATGAAATAAAAAGATAAACATGCAAACATTATTTGTTCTAGTGATTTTTTAATATCACATCTAGTGTAGTCTACATCAAACACCTGTTTTCAAGAAATACAAAACTTTCTGTCTTTTAATGCCTCCTCCCCCTTTTGCTGTCTTATCTTTTTTTTCTTTTAATACTGAAGTATTCTTTGTTGAAGTGATGACAAAAAGTAACATTTCATAGTTCTGAAGAGCGCTGAAAATGATTTGGAGGAAATGTACCACTCTTCATTAAAGTAGTTTGATTTTTGGTCTGGCTTCCATCAGAACATGAAAGTAGTAGTTGCTTTAAGGAGATGATTTATTAAAGATAAGTCACTTAAAGCAACAGCAGCAGTTTTTTCAATTTTGTAATGTAAAGCAGAAAGATTCATGTGCTTGCTCTAGGTCTGAAACAGTTCTTCCAAATCATTTTTGAAGGAAAGAAAGGTAGCACAATTGGAGATGCATGCAAAAAAAAAAGTTGAGTATAAAGATGCATTATTCAAGTAATATTCCTGAAGGTTTCTGATTAAGGAGAATTCTTACAAGCTATATAGAAAAATGTTCACTAATGAAATACTATAACTCATCTTTCCGCTTAGACTTTTGGGCAGTTTCAAAGAACATTCTGTAATTTAATTTCTTAAATTGGGTTTTAATTTCTTCCACTTGATATAAATAGATAGTGCTTTACATTATCTTTCCTTGGACCAATACAATATGGCTTTATATTCTTCTAAAATGGAATTTCCAGTCCTCATTCTAGGTTTTCAGTATCTACAATTTCCAGTAGTGTTTAAATTTACTCATTACTGGCCTCTAGTACTTGATAGATTCCCATTAAATGATGTTTTTAAATAGAAGTTTTCAAATGTGGCAGTTTTAAGATGTGTCGTGCTCCCAGAGTTTGCTAGTCAGATCTGCACATATTGAAGTTGCCATGTTTGAAAAATGCTTTTATAAGAACAAATTTGGGGGGATTGTTGGGTGTGTGTAACTGCTTGTCCATGATTGGTTTTCCACTTGAATATAAAGAATTTTATGCCACATTATTTTGAAGATTTCTGTTTTAAAAGTTCCTTCTCAATGTTCAAAAGTACCCTTTATTTACTCCAAAGCAGTGTTTCTCATCCTAGTATGGACTTCAACTCCCAGAATTCCCTGTCCAGGAATTCCTTTTTAAAAATCTGGTTTCCTGATTTTCAATGATTTTCTCTTAAGGAACACTTAAATGGGACCTGGAAGTCGCTTGTTCTTAAAGCAGAGATTGTGAATCATGGCCACTTGGCTGGCTCAAGGAATTCTGGGAGTTGGAAGTCCACAAGAGGTTAAAAGAGCCTCAGTTACCCACCCGTCCTAAAGGAAGACATCCACTTCAGAGCTTAGTTTCATGCCGAAGGTTGGTGCATCTCTGCCTCTTAGGAGATTTCTCAGATGCTTATTAATGAAGAAGCCCGGATGTCCTTCTTAGTCTATGGCCATGCCACACTTCTAAATGTAAAACTTCCCAGGTAATACTCAAATATGAGTTGCAAAAAGTAAGAGCGACTGCTTTTGTATTTATCGCTGAAAGTCAATTTCTGTCACTGAATGATATCAACAACTTTTCACTTCCATGTTGAGCAAAACTGGTTGGATTCGGAACATCTAGGGCAGTGGTTCCCAACCTTTTTTTTGCCCTGCACCCCTAAAGAAATTTCACTCGAACCTCGCACCCTCTGAAATAAATAATAAATAAAAATGCCAACATATAGCCAATATCCTATTATTTGCCTGGACTTTTCTCGCACCCCCTGGAATATCGTCTCACACCCTCGGGGTGTGAGCACCCCAGATTGGGAACCCCTGATCTAGGGCTAAAAGCAATAGCATCATGGAACCCCTTAAACGTATAGCCTAATGCAACTCAGCATATTAATATATAGCTTATTAGCATATAAGCATAGGCTATAACAGAGGTCTCCAAACTTGGCAAATTTTAGACTTGTGGGCTTCAACTCAGCTGGGGAATTCTGCGACTTGAAGTCCACAAGTTTGAAAGTTGCCAAGTTTGGAGACCTCTGAGCTATACAGTATAATTTTGGCAAATTATAAAAACTACACGCCTACATTACGTACCTTCAGAACAGTTCCCTTCCTCACGATTGATCTGGTGCGTACGCTAGGGGAAACAGATTCACTCTTCATAAAAAATGAAATAAACTACGTTAACGAGATATAATTCAATGGAAGGAAGCGTTCCTTTCTGCAACGGTAATACGCTTTTATTTGGTTTTCTCTTCGAGAAGCAAGAAACGTGGGTCTCTGAAGTCTCTGTTTGGGCGGGGAGCGGTGTACTCTACACTTTTTTATATCTCTGCGGACCTCGCTGCCCCGCTTCCCACCAATCACATTGGAGAGTCTCCCTTGCGGAACTGGAGCGCGGGAAGGAAGAAGAGCAGGACTAAAGAGGCTTGCGGGGCTGGGAGAAAGGTAACGGTGATGGCGGAGGGGAGAGAGATGGGTCGCCCAATAGACGCTGCTGCTGCTAATTATAGATCGTCGCACAGTCGGCCAGATGTTTAGGCTGCATTTGGCATTTTTATTCACTTATTGCAGAGGTCTCCAAACTTGGCAACTTTCAGACTTGAGGACTTCAACTCCCAGAATTCTCCAGCCAGCATAGCTTCCCAGCATAGGTTGCCGGAGAATTCTGGGAGTTGAAGTCCACAAGTCTGAAAGTTGCCAAGTTTGGAGACCTCTGGCCTGTTGAGTCCTTCCCAAGGACCTAGGTGAGGCAGATGTTTAAACAATGCTAAGGGTATCAATGCAATATGTAAGGTGCAATTGATTGATGGTGATTTTGACAATGACAATAGTGTTTAAGCAGATGTTTTGGGATTACTCTCAAAGCACCTATCACTACTGATACACTATTTTTGCTTTCTTTTGGTCATAGTTGTTCTACTTGTATTTGCAGGTCTTTGCATTTTTCTCCAGGTCTTTCTCTTTTGCTGTCTCCAGGCACTGCCAAGGCCACTATCTAGGCTTTTTTTTTTTTTGCCTTTCTTATCAACAGTTGTTGTGTTTGGGATGTTACTGGTGGTTCTTTCTGTTCATTATTATGATGATGATTCTGAATTTGACATTTTTATCCACCAATGTAGCCCTTCCCAAGGATCTGGGATAAACTGACATTGTTGTTTGATGGTGTTAAAGGTATCATTGCAAGATGTAAGCTGTTCCAAACAAAGCTGCCTTTTGCAATTGAGTCATAATGATTTTACCATGATGATATTTTGGGATTGCATCCAAGCTGCCTATTACTATTGAATACTACTGTTGCTTTCTTTTGCCACAGTCGTTCTATTTCTACTTGCAGGACTTTGTATTTTGTTATCTTCTCCAATTCTTGGTCGTCTATTCTGCCTCCAGGTACTGCCATGTCCGCTGTCCAGACTTTTTTTTTGTCTTTCTTGTCAACACTTGTTAAGTCTGGGTGTTCTGTGGCAGGTGCCTGTCTGTTTGAATTCTAAAGTCCCAGAGCACTTTAGCTTCTTCATTTGTCATGCGGTGTTTGTAGTCAGTCTGTGCAATCTTCTTGCATTAGCTAACCAGGTGATTCACTGTTTCTTCAGCTTCTTTGCAGAGGCGGCACTTGCTATCTGTTGTTGTCTTCTCAATTCTGGTTTTGTAAGCATTTGTTCTTAAGGCTTATTATCATTATTGCTGGCAGAGGAATTCTGGTAGTGAAAGTCCCACATCTTAAAATGGCTAAGGTTGAGGAACTCTGGTATAAACTGTTCTGGTACATTTGAGGTAAACACATTACTTATTTTTCTAGCTTATTTCATGCCGATCATGTCAAAATTGGAATGGCTTATGGACCTCAGAACAGTAATAAAACTGAAAGGCAAATGCAAATGACTAACATAAAAAATAACATCAATAGAATAATCCCATTCAGAAAAGACTAAGGCAATTTCCAGAGGTCTGTTGAAACAGCCTGGTCTTTATGGCTTTATAAAAGATAAGCAGAGTCGAGGCCAGTCTGGTATGGGACTATTGCTCCAGAGAATTGAGAATGGCTAAGAATGTCCAGCCCTGGTTTTGTTGCTGATGATGTTCTGTTCTGTAAGGGTTGGCATCAGAGGGAGACTTCTCTTCCAGATTCCATAATATGGGCAGAAAAACAGATAAAAGGTATCCTGCAGATGTAATATTTGGGGCAGAATTAACATGCTTCATATGAGTGTAGTTCCCTGGATACTTTATATCTTGCATGGAATTCCTATATTCATATTTAGAAAATATTTCTGTAAAACTTACTACATTGTTTCCTACATATTGGGTTGTAAAGATATCTTTGAAAGTGCAATTGTTAACAATGGTGATTTTGGTTTTCCAAACATTGAATTGTACCATTATGCATTTGACCAATACTAAATTCAAGGGATCTTAGTGCAAATTCGTCTATCTGGGCCCATGTGGAATATTCACATGTAACCCTGTTTTGGTTCAAAACATGAGAAATATACTGTATCTCATGTTATTATGGTATCAGTTTGAAAACTGGATACCAGGTAGTCCTCGACTTAACAATAGTTCATTTAGTGATCATTTGAAGTTACAACAGCACTGACAAAAATGACATGATTTTTTTTCACACTTATGACTTGTTGTAGCATCCCCATGGTCACATGATCAAAATTCAGATGCTTGGCAACCAACTCATATTTACCATATTTATGAACCAGTCATGTTTGGGACCTTCTGACAAGCAGAATTCAATGGGGAAGTCAAATACATTTACCAACTGTTTAACAACTGCAATGATTGTATTTTTATAATTATATATACATATACTATGTGTGTGTATGTGTGTATGAATTTGATCAACAGGTCTATCAACATGGCTAGCCCTATGGCTTCTTTGCTTCAGAGATTTGATAATTCTTCTCGACTTCTTATCTGCACACTGATGTCTGGACAACGGGGGGCCATGGCCGCCTTTCGAACTCTTCAACGGTCACTCTCTGTGGAAAAAGGAAGACAACATTTCAATTGGCAGATCTTCACTGAGAAACTGTGCTCTCAAGAACCAGTGCTTGAAGAGCCGAACAAGACTCTTACCATGTGAGTTAGGTTTATTTCCCATTAGAAAGGTTAGATAAGGGGCCTATTTAGGGATTCTGAAATGTAATTTTCCCCTCGAGAACTAATGAAGATGAAGATTGATATGGTAATTCTATACCCCTTCCCTTTCTTCCTCCCTTTCTAAAGAAAAGTTCTTTTATAATGTGGAATACTAGAAAAATCAGGATCCCACATTACACATCCTAGATACATTTCAGTTTCGGATCTGTGCTATGTCAAAATCACATGTGGGCTTGATATGTAAGATTCTCAGTTCTTTATGCTTCTGTAAGACATTTAACTAGTCAACAATAATGAACTTGTGGCACTTCAAATACTGTTGAATTATAATTTCCAGCAGCCCCAGACAATATAGCCAGTGATGAAGGATGTAGTTTAATAGCAAGAGAAGGTCTGAAACGCAGTAGTTCCCCAACCTCCAGTCCATGGACCGGCACCGGTCCACAGCATGCCAGAAACTGGGCCACACAAACAGGTGAAGCCCAATCCATGGGATAAGTATGTTAATGCAGAACCTCTTTGATTCCTTTTTCTAACTGAGTAAATGTTATTCCATGTTTGCTTGGTGATAAAAAAGGTGAACCTTAATATTTTATGACCTGCAATTTTTGCATTCCTAGATTCAGAGAGAATTGCATTATAGTTGGTGTGCTGGTTAAATCTTGGGTTGGAATCTGGTACATCTTCCCTCCCTCTTGAAACTTATTACGCATCTTACTAGCTCAGTCATAATCTGTGATCGTCAATTTGCACCTCACAGGATAGTTGTTATAAGAATGAAATGACAGGATACCTTACTTTGCATTGCCTTGAGCTTTAAAGCAAATAAGGGCTTTTGGGGTAATAATAAAATAAAAATATTACCTGTGGTGTGCTGAACAGCAAATTGCACTATCTGTATTCCATAATGAACATTTTAGTCTTATAATAATTGAAGAAATGCATTTTTGCTTTCTATCTTCTATATAATTATTTCAGGAAACCAATATTGATGCTGCTTCCAGTGTTGTGCCAAAGAAATCTCTTTTCCTTGTTGCTTATCGTACAATCTACAGTGCCAAAGGACTGCCTCAGCTGTCTGCTCCAGGCCTCTAGAAAAGATCCCAATCCAGATTTATGGGTACAGAGATTAAGGGATTTACTACAAGCAGGGATGGAAGAGAGGAGCTTTTTGACCCCTGTCTTGCTATCCAGCACATGCCAACAGCAACTGAAGCATTTATGCCAGAAGATTATGACCCATACTAGCAGCAATGCTAATTTAGAAAGAAAATTAAACTGGTTGGTTAAACTGGAAAATCCTTGCTTGGTGTCAGCTGGTAACACTTTTCAGTCTGGGTCTCAGATTAGGAAAAAAAGAAAAGCATCTGAAGAATCTCTGAGTCTTGAAGAGGAGAATCGGAGGAAGAGGTCCCAACTGGAAATTAATTTGGAAACAGAAGTTTCTCAACCACAGCCTGAACTGCAGGATGTTGGAACAGAAAGCACTAAGAATGAACTCGCACTGGACACTTTTGGAAAGGAAGCTATTCACTGCCTAAGCAGCGTCAGTCAGTTTTCTTTCAAAGAAGATGAAGTAGAAAAGAGAATTGTTGGCCAGAGTTCCAAGCATGACACTGCAACAGAGGTTCCTGGTCATATGAAAGTATGTAAACTCTTCTAAATTCTTAGGCTCTTTTGCTTTGTTGATGATTTAAGAGTACAAACATATTTCCAGTGAGGCTTTACATCCATCTTTTCTCTCAATGGCAACTAGAACAAGCCATATGTTTGTCAGGAAGTGATAGGAGGCAAAATAACCCTTTTGTTTTAGTTTATGAAAATAGACAGCAAGATTGACACATTTTTATGCAGATGAACAGTTTGAACCAGGAGTTTCTGTCTCTTTTTCAACTGCTGCTTCTTATTCTCAAACTCCAGCAGAATATATTAAATCAACATTATTTTTAAAACTTTTAAATTTGCATTAATAAATCGCTTAAGATAGCACACTCTGAAGCTTTAACCTGGTATCAAGAGTGATTCATTTTTCTTCTGTATTTTAGAACCATGTATCAAAACTTAAAGAATTGCTAGAGATGCAGTTTGATGTAAGTATTTTTTTACTGAATTTGCTATTGGGACAGATGGTCTGTATTCTTTGCAATCTCTGTAGGTTTTTTTTTTTAAATTTCAGTGTTCCAATGGAACTGCCCCTCCTGAGCTACAGATTCTAAATGAATGTACTCCAGATCAGGTTAGTAGAGTGAAAAATTATACTTTATTTGAAGATTCATAAATGGGCCTTTACATAAGAGCATTTGTTCAGACTACAGGTCTTTACTGAAACTAAATAACTAATCTTGAATCCTGTTTGTATCTGATCCAAATACAAGTGATATTGTGGCAATGGATTATTTGGACAATACTGTGTCTCCTTTCCTTTAGCTAGAAGATTTATGTTCACTGCTCAAACTCTCAGAATGCCCAGAGACTGAGCTTCTGCAGTTCTGCTGCTGGATAGTAGCACTTTCACCTGAACTTGGCTACAAGAAGGCAGCAATACTTGCTGAAAAACTTTTCTTACCTCGGGTATGTATTGAGAATCTGAAACAGGTAAAGAAGAAAAGCCTTTGGTTAAAACATCAGTCATTTATGAATGTTAGGTTCATCTCTGGCATTTTCATGGAAAAATATCCCAAACTCCTATACTGAGAAAGCTTTAAGAATTCCTTGAATGCTCATTATTTTGACTTTCTGCATAAACAGTGATTATATATTTTATGTTATTTTTCATATATTTAGATCTCATCCTAAATCAGGGGTCTTCAAACTTGACAGCTTTAAGACTTGTGGACTTCAACACTCAGAATTCCTCTTCCAGTCATGTTAGCTCAGGAATTCTGGGAGTTGAAGCCCACAAGTCTTAAACTTGCCAAGTTTGAAGACCCTTGTCCTAAATCATACTGATAAAACTTATTTGAAAAAGTCTGAATAAAAGCCAAAATAGACATTACATGGGATAAGTAATAGTGTTCCCATTGATACCGTGTTTCTCACAAAATAAGGCCGGACCTTATTTTTTTTTGACCCCCGAAAAAATGGCTAGGCCGTCTTTTCGGGGGTGACTTAATTCCACCCCCCTTGCATCCTTGGGTGGGCGGCAATGGCTTGGATGTTGACCTTGGCGTTGGTGGTGCACTTTGTATCGGGAGACCTTCCGCCACTGTTGCTTTCCCTTCTCCCTGTGCTGCCGCAGTGTTTAGAGCAATGCCGTGGTGTTTGGCGCAGCCACACGTGGCCAGCCAGGGCTCCTCCCTGCAACCGGAGCCCGGCAGAGACACTTGGCTTCAGGCACTCCTGTCATCACCTTCCCTTCGTCTTCGAAGGCAAAGCCAATTCTTTTAAAAACGACGCTCTACTACTGGTACGACAAAGCCTCCCCTGCCCAAGAGGTCAGCCCAACCCCACGTGGGGAGGCAAATCTCCCAGGGCCGCAGCGTAGGATCGGCCCAGCCTGGGAGAAGCACCCAGCCACCATCCCTGCCTGACGCCGGGCAGAGTGCGAAGAACTTTGCTTGGGGCGCCCAGCGCAGCTGACAGGTGGGCCCTCCTGCCTGGCGACAGAGCTCTCGCCAAGGCAGCGAGTGCCTCCCCACCGGGCCCTCTTCTCATCCCGCTAGGGCCACGCCAGAGCCGTGTGAACTGGGTAGAGCTGGGAAAGTGAGCCGTGGGTGCGCACCTGCCTGCCAAGCGAAAGAGCTGGGCCGCCCCGAGCTTGGCTTCCTTCCCAAGTACCTCCAGCCCGAACCCGAAGGGGCCACCGGGAGTGGCTGCCTGAGGCAGTGATAGCGCCTACCCATCTGTGGACAGGGAGACAAGGTGACGGCCTGCGCCACGTCCTCCGAGCTGAGCCCTGCCAAGTGAGCACCTCTGCCCGATGCCCGTGCCACTGCAGCATTTGGAGCTGCTGGCGCATTTGGAGATGTGTGGAGACAGAGAGGGTCTGGGCGAGGGGTGGAAAGGACAGGCGGCTTCGGGCTCTCTCTGCTGTTCCTACTGTCCAGGGAAGCAGCGCTGCTGTCGCCTCGCCTTCCTGTCCGCAGATGGGTGGGCACTATCACTGCCTTGGGCAGCCTCTCCTGGTGGCCCCTTTGGGTTCAGGCTGGAGGGACTTGGGAAGGAAGCCAAGCTCGGGGCGGCCCGGCTCTTTCACTTGGTAGGCAGGTGCGCACCCGTGGCTTGCTTTCCCAGCTCTGCCCAGCCCGCACAGATCTGGCGCGGCCCTGGCAGGATGAGCGGAGGGCCCGGTGGGGAGGCGCTCGCTGCCTTGGCGAGAGCTCCACCGCCGGGCAGGAGGGCCCTCAGCTGCGCTGGGTGTGCCAGGCGATGCTCTTCGCGCTCTGCCCGGCACCAGGCAGGGATGGCAGCTGAGCGCTTCTCCCAGGGTGGGCCGATCCTGTGCTGCGGCCCCGGGAGATTTGTTTCCCCATGTGGGGTTGAGCTGCCCTCTCAGGCAAGGGAGGCTTTGTCGTACCGATTAGTAGGACGTCATTTTTAAAAGAATTGGCTTTGTCTTCAAAGGCGAAGGCAAGGCAGCGACAGGAGCACCTGAAGCCGAGTGTCTCCGCTGGGCTCCGGTTGCAGGGAGGAGCCCTGGCTGGCCACGCATGGCTGTGCCAAATGCCAGCAGCACGGGGAGAAGGGAAAGCAACGGTGGCGGAAGGTCTCCTGATACGAAGTGCCCCACCAACACCGAAGTCAACGCAGGCAGAACCATATCCGGGTATGCAACAAAAGTACTTCCTAACGGCAAGGTCCCCCCCACCATTCCCCCGCACATTTCTCATGTTTAATATAGGCCTTAATTTGGGGGGAGGGGCTTAATTTGATTTTATGCCTATAAAACATGCTGGGACTTCCTATTGGGGGAGACTGTATTGTTGGAGAAACACGGTAGTTATCAGGCAAGTATTATGTCCATCTGCTGATAATGTCTAGCCTAGTAATACAGCCTTTAGAAATCATCTTATTATATACTACTTATTATAAGTATGTATTGCATATTTATTTAAATTGTAAATATTCTTCGTTTTGGAGGCATTAATACATCCTTGGATAGATTAATAAGTAGGAAATGGAAAAAAGAGAGATAGAGATCAGGTAAAGAATGCTGGAACATGCTAAGAATTTAGACCAAAGTACAGAACTTGTGGAAATCAATTGGGATAAGGAAAAGTCAGGAAAAAGCGAAACAAAATGAGGACAATTTGTCTGGTAGATGAAGATATTCTCCCTGTATGTTGCCATAGAGTGCTTCCCCCCTCCCCACTCTGCATATTATATGTTGGAGGACTATTGCTTAATATGTAAATATTTATTTAATTTATATTGCCTTCTATTCGCCCATGGCAACTCGAGGAGGCTTACACAATGTCAAACCATATTTAAAATAAAAAACAAAAAAATAAAAAAAAAATAAAAACTAACAAAAAGAATCAAATAAATTAGTAAATTACAATAGAACAAAATTTAGGAAAAACAAAACAAATTAAAAAATCAAAAAAATCAAAAACCAACTCCCACTCCACTCCCTGACGACAGCAAATCACACTAGCCACCTGATGGGCTCCATTCCTCTCTGGGTTCCCCAGGCCTGCTGGCAAAACCAGGTCTTCAGTGCCTTTTGGGAGACTATTAGTGAGGTGGCCATTCTTATCTCTGGGAGAATGGTGTTCCAGAGAGACGGAGCCACCACGGAGAAGGCCTTTCTTCTGGGTCCCCACCAGGTGTATCTCCCTCAGGGGTGGGACCCGCAACATCCCCTGCCTCCTCGCTCTAATGGATCGGGTGGATGTGACTGGCAAGAGATGTTTCCGTAGATAACCCAGCCCCAAGCCATGAAGGGCTTTAAATGCTTTAAATCTACAACTTTTCCAGTTTGTCCACAAGTGATAAACACTAAACTATAATTTGAAATATATATATATATATACATAAATTAATTAGCGTTATATATTTACAAGTTGCCTCCTTTGTCCTGAAAAGCAACAATCTTATGACATCTACGTGTATGGCAAAATTTATGTGCATGCCAATATCCCCTTCTCATTTTCCCACTTCAGGGGAATGCCTTTTTAGGGATTACTTCTAGTGAGGTCATTCACATATTGACTTCCACCCTCAAGCAAAACAATCTGTAGAGGGTTTTTTTCTTCCTTTCAGCATTTCTAATTTTTTGGTTGATACTTTGTGCTAAGGCATGGTTTATGAATAAGCCATTGTGGCTTAGTTAGCATAATCATAATCATATAGCACTAAACCACAAACAAAGTAAGTCGGGGGTCTCCAACCCTGGCAACTTTAAGACTTGTGGATTTCAACTCCCAGAATTCTGGGAGTTGAAGTCCACAAGTCTTAAAATTGCCAAGGTTGGAGACTGCTGAAATAGGTGGATTCATCAACATTAATTAAATAGTAGCTTAGGGCAGTGTGTTAACCTAGCCAATGTTTATTATCCAGGCAGTATTTATTTTGTCTGTCTTCTTGATCTTGTAGGTTCTTTCACTGACTGAGACACCATCCTGGCCTTTCACAACTGCCCTGATGATGTTCTGCTCGAAATATCCTCGCCCAATCTGTTGCACTTTAATTTCTTCTATTGTGCAAGTTCCAGGGCAAGGTGAATGTATAACTCTTCTTTCAATAAGATCATCTCATTTTTTTTCTGAGACTTTAATTTATTGTGAGAAGTGAAATGTCTTTTCCAATAATAAACTCAGTGCTTGCGTGCTGAAAGACTGGAATCGAAATAAAGTTTCACTTTGATGAGTTTTGCAATATTCAGAAATATAAAATGTGAGATTATAAAGAGGGGGATACTGGCCCAGTGAGGATGGATCTTGGCCTCCTATACTGCACGGGGTGTAAGCCAGGGGTGTCCAGTGTTGGCAACTTTAAGACTTGTGGACTTCAACTTCCAGAGTTCCCCAGCCAGCCTGGCTGGCTAGATTAATCTGGGATTTGAAGGCCAGAAGTCTTAAGGTTGCCAACATGGGACACTCCTGGTGTAAGCTGTTAAAAAATGGAAAGCAAATATGTAATAAGCAGGGAAATGGAAATGTCTTTCTTAAGACTATCTAAATTGAAATTTTCCTGAAGGACTTCGAGGCTGCCAGAAAGTCCATGTGAGATACATTTCTGGTAGGATATTTTTAGAATCTGTAATCTGATTTTACGCTTTTGCTACAACGTGTGTAGGAAAGAGAAAACAAATGGCAACAATAGAAATGGCTACTATAGAAACTTCAAAAGAAAGCCAATAGGATGAATAGAAACAAAGGTAAATTCATAATGAGCAAAATTGTGTGAAAAATTTAAAAAAAAAATCAAGAGTGCAAACTTCAAAACAGAAATGATGAAAGACAAGTAAATAAAATGGGCTAATTAACAAATGAAATTATTACAAAGCAATTTAAATATTTTAGGCTCTAACTATTCCTATTTTTACCTCTAGTTCCGAAGCTTGTACCTTTCTCAAAACAAAACTATTATTGAATTCTTCACCTGCAGTTCTTATTGTGTCTTTTCCAAGGACTAGGTTTTCTCACCGATAATACCCTAGCAGCAAAAACAAATTCTATTTATTTACACAGAACTTATCATTTTGTCTTCTGTTGTGGCTTCCCCATTGTGACTCCTTGATTATGTACTTTAATGAAGGGACTTTTCAAGCACAAATCGACCAGCTGGGATAGAGATACACTACAATATTTTTTGAATAAATTAAATCTTTTTTAAAAAATCACTTGTCCATAAGTTTCACTTCAATCAATTTTTAGTCTTGGAAAATTTTGCAATTTTTTAAAGCACTGGGCAAATTAAAATGGCAAAATATTTACTGTGCTGTACTCCCTTTCATATCTTTTATAATACCTTTAGGCAATTTCCAAATGAGATATTTATATCATCTTGTAAAGTCATCCATCCATTATTGTGCCATACAAGGATTTTGTTACATCAATAATAGCTGGATTACTAATTGGCAAATGCCAATGGCAACTTGCCTGACCTTGGAAACTAAGTGTGATTGATCGTGGCTAGAACATAAATGGGAAATCAACTGGGAATTTTGGGGTTAGAGGTAAATTTGGAAAGTTGAAATAAATCCCAGATGGATGCAGTAGGAAACCATTTCCTGAATGTTGGTCTTTAAGTATCAAGCTTGACTCCAAGGGCCTCTTTGCATTTTTGTGATTCTTGAATGATATAAAGTAGATTTCTGAAATCTTGGTTTTTTTGCAGGCCTTGAACAATTGAGATTGGTATGCAAGCTAATTGAGGAGTGTTTGGAACCAGAATGTATGAGGCTGGTATTCAGGTAAGTGGAAACACAAATGTAGTACAGATAGTCCTCGGCTTATGACTACAATTAGGACTAGAATTGCAGCTGTGACAGACCTGATTTTATGAAAACTTTTATGGCAATCATTAAGTAAATCATGCAACTGTTGTCTGAATCACTCAGTGGTAATTATGAACCCATTATCCTGAATGTCCAGGTTTTGCCAGAAACCAGCAAAAATGATGTAAGTTATGGTCATGTGGCTGTGGAGTGATGCAGCCAGTCGAAAATGTCAGCCAGTTGCCAACATGTTTACAATGGTCGGAAGTGCTTTACAGACTGTAAAGCATCTGCTCTGAGGCTGTCATAACTCCGAATGTTCATTAAATGACCGGTCGTAAGTTGAGGACTACCTGCATTGAGACTGTAATCAAAGACACTCTGACTATTGTCTGATGTGCCGGAATATTCAGTTGCTACTATCTGACATATGCAATTGCATTGAAAAAATAGTTAGGTTTTTTATATGAATACAAATTGCAGACATATCTGTAAACCATCCTCATTCTTCTCAACCTCTTGTCAGTTTTCAGTACCATTGACCATGCTCTCCAGGAGTTGGCAATTGGAAACACAGTTTAGTGCTGGTTCTCCTCCTTCCTCAGAGGCTAGTCCCAATTAGTGTTGATAAGGAATGAGATGTCCAGCCTGCAGCATCCTTGGTGATCTCACTCATTTTAGTATCTACATCAAGGGTGTCCAAACTTGGCAACTTGGCAACTTCAAGACTTGTGGACTTCAACTCCCAGAATTTTGGGAGTTGAAGTCCACAAGTCTTCAAGTTGCCACCCCTGATCTACATGAAACTGGGTGAGATCATCCTTCCCCATGGAACGAGATAACATCTCTTGGGGGGAACTAAATTATGCTGTGGATGTTCTTTCCTGATGCCTAGAGGCTATAGGGGTCTGGATTGGGGAACAACAGGCCAGGGATGGGATTCAACCGGTGTTGCTACCGGTTTGGTACTTATGTTTTGAGTGTGCTTGCGTGCTTAGTGCGCCAGATGCGTGTGTAAGCTGTGCCTCCTGGACAGCTGATAAGCGCTGCGCACGGGTGAGCAGTGTTTGAAAAAAGCCTTTTTCAGCCTCAGCTGTGCCACACAAAGCAGCTGAGGTTGAAAAAGCAGGAAATAAAGGTCAGGTAAGAGCCCAGGTGGGCGGGTGGGCCAAACAGCAGCAGACACAGACCCGGTTCTGTGTCTGCTGCTCTTCAGAGCTATTGGTTCTACAGAGCTGGGCAGAACTGGTAGCATCCCACCCCTGCAACAGGCTTCCATTAAACCCTGATAAGACACAGTGGTTGTGTGGAGGAGCTTCTCTGTGTCTGAATATGGAATTGGTATGTAATCTGGGGCTCCTCCTGGACAAACTTGCTCCATGGCAGTTGTGCTAGGAGGGCCTTTGTTCAACTTTGTGTTATGTGCCCCCTTCCTGTGCAAATATCCCACGGATGAAACTTCCCTTTTGTAGTTAAAGAAAAAATTGTATTTTGAATTGTTTTAAAAAATTTTAATAATATAATTCTAGTGCATCTTCTGTAGCCAGTTTCATATGTGAACTTGAATCGGTGTGGGTTAAATTTGATTATTCCAGCTTAGTTTCCTGATTTGTGTAAATAGAGGAGCACCTGCATAATGCTGAAGGGTATTATACCATCTTCTACCAATCTAGCTAATATGGGTAAGAACCATTTTAAATAATTAACATAGTCATAAATCTTGGTGACTGGCAGAACATCCATCTTTAATTATGTCTTTCATTGTTTTGGTTCTCCCATCTCTTTGCAGTCATATTATAAAAGTGCCATGGACAGAAGACCTTCTCACAGTTGTGCATTCTTTGCTAGAAAGACAGGTGATTGTGTGCATTTCAATCTTCTTAAATTTAAGTAATTGAATAAACTGTATCCATGGAGTAGCTAAAGATTAGATCTCTCAAATCTAGTATGCTGCAGTTCTCTAACAAATTTCAAATACAACAAGTCCAATATGTAAATATATACAGTAATGCAAAGCAGTCACTTGATAGTGAGATGGGTAGCATATAGAATTTAATAATAGCATTTAGGCTTATATACCATCCTGTAGCACTCTATAGCACTCTCTGGACAATTTACAGTGTAGAAGCATTATTTGGATATTGCCCTGAACAATCTGGGTCCTCATTTTACTGACCTTGGAAGGATGGAAGTCTGAGTCATCCTTGAGCCCCATCAGGATCAAACCTCAGGCTGTGGCAGAGTTTGCCTGCAATATTGCACTTTACTGCAGGACCAGGGGTCTTATAAAAATTTAATTAATAAATAAACCAAGGTCTGGGTTAGTTTAGCATCCTTGGGTCAAACATGTAGTGGCCTGGTTGAGAATTCAGCCATATACATTGGTCTGATATTCTCCAAGCAACTGGATCTTTCTTTAGGGTACATAATACTTGTTTTTACCCCTCAATTTCTATCATCTTCTCTTTTTAGGTAGAATTGTCTAGTGAGCTCTTCAATGCATTGGTCCTTAATCTTTGTCAGATGGCTCAAACGTTTGAAAGTTCGGTACATTATGCAAAGCTGATCCTGGCTCTGTTGACCAAATATCAAAATGATGTGAGTAATTACCCCAAAACATGGATCACCCCAACTGTTGCATAATTGGTGTAACGAATCTCTTTTAGTAACTTCTATATAAGCATATAGAGTAGTACACTTGTTTCATTTACTATTTAACGTATAGTTTTGATCTCTCTTGAAAAAAGAGGCCCTAGTTATCCACAGTAGTGTAGAATTGCAATTCCTCTTGGAATGTGATTTTTTTTAACAGACAAGGGTCTACTCCTGGCTACTCCTACTGTTCAGGAACTGGATTGCAGGAAAATGGCAGAGTTAATCTCAACAAAGATAACGAAGGATTTATAATCGACACTATTATGAATTAGCTTGTATTTTGTGTCCCCCTTCTAGATCACATTGGGTCACCAGCACCATTTATCATGTGCCCTGGACCTTAACAAAACCATCTTAAAGAAATCTCTTCAGGCTGCGTTAAAGAGAGTGACTTCCAGGTGAAAAATGTAAGGAGGCTTTCTTACTCCTGCAATGGCTCTGGAATCAAATATGCCTTCGGACTCTGGGACACCTCTGCTTATTCTTTTTATCAATTTGCTCAATGCAACTCATACTTGTTAAGTTAAAATTTAAATATGTTCAAAATAGGTTATGGATTGGTATGAGTTACCTTGAGGTATGTAGCCTATACATTTTATAAATACATAAATAAAATTTCATATGCACATTTTTTTCATTTTTAAATGAAACCAATTAGAACATATAGGCAGTGAAAACCTCAGGTTGTCATTCCATTGCTGTGGCTAGTGATCTGTGTGCCTCATGGGCGACTCTAAGGAAACACCTTGATTTTCCTCCAGGAGAAACCAATAATGTTGAAAGAGTAAGAAAGGCCTAGATATCATCTGGGGCATAAAAGGGAAAGCTAAGGAACACAAGAGTTTCAAACTGTCTGCAACTGAGACAATGGTGCTGATTGAGGAGTTGTTAGAATCAGTCCTCAAGAGTTTTGGGTGTTGTGGCATTCCTCTAGGGCAGGAGAGCCAAACTCAAGGCCCGCGGTCTGGATCCTGCCTATGGAGTGCTTAGATCTGGTCTGCAGGGCTGCTCTGGAAACAGCTAAGGACCGGCCCGTGGTGCCTCTGCCAGCAAAAATGGGGCTCAGGAGGGCTGCAGTTACAGGAGGCTGTCGCAACTGAAAATAGAGCTCAGGAGCTTGTTTTCGCTGGAAGAGTGCTCAGACCACCACGGGCACCCCAACAGGAGTGTTGTTGAGCTGGTCATGCCTAGCCCAGTCCCCCGAGGTAAAACACAGCCCTGACGTGGCTCTCAATGAAATCGAGTTTGACACCCCTGCTCTAGTGTCACGATCTGGGTGTTTGGTGTCTGGCTCACAATTGCAGTGAGCCGTGGTCATGTGATTTCCGGCATTCTGTGCGTGCTTCCAAGAAGCCCACAAAGTCAATAGGGAATTCAGCAGTAAGTCAAAGGTTGCTTGTGCTCCTGCTACTTTTTTGCCTGCCCATGCTCTGTTGTGCTGCCTACATCTTCTATCTATGACCTGTAGGGTCTATGATAATCCCTAGCAGTAACCACTACCTCCTGTACTTTTTAGAGCCTTCCTGTAGTGGTTGTGCCCATTTGCCCATGCTCTGTCGTGCCTGTGTATGGCAGCACCTACGCACCTGCTTGCCCAGAATAGCATCAGTCTGTGGCACCCGACCATGGTATCCATAGCTGCTTGCCTGGCATAAAGGATAAAGAGCCTTCCCTTTCTCTGCCAGCTGCCTTATCCCTGCATCCTTTTTCCAATAGTTTTTGCATACCTAAATACAGTTCTGGCATCAGAATTCAGCTGATGAGACTAGTACATAAATAAAAAAGGTTTTCACTTCTTACTTCTATATCTCATTTGATCCCTCCTATTTGGCTCTAGCTCACATTCTATCTCAATAGATGCTGTAATTAAAGGGACACCATTTCAGAAAAAAATAACTTTTCTTGAAACATATACAAGTTTAATTATGCAGTAAAGTGTTACACATAAAATAGCCCATATCCCTTCCCAAGCATAAATTTTGCTCATACAAGGAAGAACACTTGCATAAACATGAATAATTTTAACATCAATTTAAATATATATTGTGTGTTAACATTTACATTTATGAATATATTAAAGCATCCATAGAATGGATGAAATTTGAAGCTTTTTAAAAAAACGACCAAAAGAACCCTGGTCTATGTGATTTATTCACAATGTATCTGTATGCACTCTACTTCATTCCAGATGTCTAGTTTTGTTTGTCTGGTTTGTCTCTTTTGATTTCTATACTATTTTAAGGTGTAAGCTAGTTTTTGTCTCTCTTACCTCAAAATAGTGACAAAACAAACCATTAATTCTGTTCAATAGTATAGGCAGAAAGAAAAGTCTCATATGAAGTATTGGGACTTGGTTGTCCCTATCTAAGTGGTTGCAAGATTGTGTATCTTCACAGAGCAGCAAACTGGTGCAGATATTTCAGATAATGGAACTACAGGGCTTAAAATATCAGCTCTTAAAGGCATAAATTAGTCCAACACTGAGAAATTGAAGAAGTATCCTAGGAGAGATCATAATTCTAAAATCAATGAAATTCTCACCATTGGAATCCAGGTGTGCAGAGTGAGAACTAACAAAGTTTATTTTATTTTTGGGCCCCCCAAAAGTGAAATGTGATTAAAAGATGCTTGCATATTCCACAGAACCTGAAGAAGAAAGTCCACCAATTGACTCAGGGGAATGTTTTGTTGACATTTGATCTTAATGGAAATGTTCTGTTGACATCTGTGCTTATTCTGGGCAGCTTCGGTGTGGAATACATTGTGTTCATTCCTTCGTGCAAATTTTGGGCAGTGTTGCTTTCATGAACCTGAACAGTCACAAGAAAAGAAAAACACCCTTTTAAAAAATCTTTTAACTGACCACATTTCATTTTAAATACCGTACAAGAAAATATGTGTATGCGTAAATATGTGTATTTATGTTATGGGCTAGTAATTTAATGTGTGCATATGTTCTGATGTAGCCAAACTAACATGTTTTTTAAAATAAGTTTTACTTGAAGTGCTGTCAAGTCCTGAGTCTTGCTTGGCCATAACAGAAATCAAAGTGAGAGCAACTTTTTGCCTTCCTCTTCCCGTTATTCTATAAAATTACATTCCTTCATTAAGAATAAGAGCAATCAAAGGCAAGTATATGTATCCCAGGATAATGTTGCAGGATCTAATCTGGGTAGATCACTGGGACCAGAGGTTTAGTATTCTGAGCTTTCGAACTCATGCTGGAGCCCATCTTAAGGGAACTTCTCTCTAGCAGAATGAGCTGTTCTGTATGTGGTGTTTATAGTGCCAGTTGTATGTGGTTTTAAGATATTGATTGGATGTGTTGATGGCTGACTTTTAAGTTGTTGGCTGTCTTTTGCTTGAGCTGGCCAGCCCTCACCTTCTAAGTATTTGATAGGCTGGTGGTAAAACAGCATTCTTGTTGACTCACGAGGGGCCTGTTTCCCAGGCTTCGATTCATATCCCTGGCTGTTTTCGTGCCTGTTCCTCCAACAACCCTAGTAGCTGAAAAACTGTTGCAACTTTTGCAGCTACTAAGATTGTTGGAGGAGCAGGCACAAAAATAGCCAGGGGAGTCCGGCATCATTTTTTCTGTTCTAAACTTATTCGGTATGCTGCTATAAATTTAAGTAAACAAAACACAATGATGCTACTTTCATTTCTCTCTGTGAAAATAGGTTGAGTGAGAATGTGTATGTTATTAAGGAACTCACAGAAAAGATAATTTACCAGCATTCCAACAGCAGTGATTAACTATATTTCCTATAGTCTACATTAAATGCTGAGTAATGAGACCTAGGATTGCATGATACTACTTTTCAGTAATTTTGAGGACAACAGTTAGTAAAGTTTAGAATCTAGTTTGAAGATTAATTCTACATGGACATAATTAATGAATTTGGTTTTTTTTTGAAAGAATTATTACTCTAATCCAAGCCCATGCCCCAGAATCTTTGCACAATCATTTACAAATATATGAGTTGAGTAGGATGATAGCAAAGAAAATAATTGTAAAAACTGCAGTACTTGAATAATGAATTTTCTGCAAGGAAGAAACTGTTCACGATCAAAAAAATTTCCCCACTTGTTGAAGTGGGTATCTTACCTGTAAGTTTATTATTCTACAGTTTGGGTTATCATCAAAAATCTGGTCATCTGCCACTATTGAGAAGAGAGGGTCATTTTAGTATATACTGTAAGTATTCCTGCCTTTGGGCCAATTTACATGCTAACATTTTAGCTGAGCTTCTAAACACCATGTGTACAACTAAAATTAAAATGGAAAACATATTCTATGGAAACATCTCTCAGATATCCATGATGATATGTAATTCCTGACTGAATACACATTAATTAGCATACTTGGCCTGCTTGTGTTTACAGTTTGATGAAGGTGACACTCAAATGTTTGATTCAAACTTGCATATCATCTTTTTTCTGTGCTGTGGACTTCAAGTTTGAAAGTCATCTCGGGTACTGTGAGGAATATAAAACGAAATGCTAACCTCCTGACCTTAATGCTTGCAATAAATTGATATTCAGTATTAATAGAGATGTTAATAGACCATATTTTATGTTTTGCGGGATAATTGAAAATTTGCATCCACTTCTGCAACAAGTCATACTGATGGAGATGGTGTCATATGTTTTACATCCGTTGAATTTCTGGATGCATATCCACATCCGGTCTATACGTGAAGATCCTGATCTAGGAAGAAAATCAGCCTATGAAAGAAGTATGGGGGTTCTCCCTATATCTTTGTTTATAATATATTCTATATTATTGTTGCATGCTGCAGAAAATGGATTAAAGACGGGCATTATTAACTGAAAAAAAATGATTCGCAGATACACTGCTAAGTGTAGGATATGTGAAAACGTTAATGAAGAGGGACCAAAGGAAGACATGTTTTCTCTTTTTCCATTAGAGGTATGAAACTTGAAGCCTCTTTTAGGTGTTGCCGAACTACAATACCCAGCAGATCAATTTCTAGCCTAGTCAATGGTGTGGGCTGTGGATGTTTTAGTTCAGCAACATATGGAAGAGGCTACAGTACGGACATATATGCATCCGGCCCAAACTGAAAAGCTATTATACTTTTTCTGCACTCCGTCTCACCCAAAGCCAGGAAGCATCCAGCACAAAAGAAACATCCTATGGCAAGATCCAAATCCTTTCCACGTTTTCCTTGTTCATATTTGAATTAAGTGAATCCAAAACAGTGTAAAAGAACATGGCTTTAGGCATTCTCTTCTCCCCTTTTTATGTTGTGAGAGATATTCTCTGTATATACCCTGCAGGTCATAGGCTACAAACTCTCTGTAGTTTTCTCTTTTACTAATAGTGTATAAAACAATTAATGTCTACTGATGCTAATGTATTGATGGATACAGCTAGTCCTCAACTTACAACAGTTCGTTTAGTGATTGTTCAAAGTTACAACGGCACTGAAAATGATTTATGACCATTTTTCACACTTACAACCACTGCAGCATCCCCATGAAATTCAGATGCTTGGCAACAGATTCATATATATGATGATTGCAATATCCTGGGGTCATGTGATCAGCTTTTGCAACCTTCTGACAAGCAAAGTGAATGGGCACTTAAGCCCAATTAACTTTACAACTATGTTACTAACACATGCAGTGATTCATTTAACAACTCTGGCAAGAAAGGTCATAAAATGGGGCAAAACTCACTTAACAAATGTTTATTTAGTAACATAAATTTGGGGCCCATTTGTAGTCGTAACTTGAAGACTAACCCTTGGTACTTACCTAGAAAAAGTTACCTATTGCATTTGACTATTTTGCAAGGATTTTTTTTACCTAAAGTATATGTTATATTAGAAACTAGCATACTGTAATACAAAGAAAAAAAATACCAGACTCTAGTGTTGCCTTTATTTTCAAAATAGTCTGGGATTTATTTATGTAAAAGTCTTCCAGAAGATCTATTTTTCCATGTCTATAAAATAGAATAATTGTGATTGATAGTTCAGCAGGATATACAGAGATTATGCCAAGGGAAAAAAGGCCTTGATTTCTACCCACCTCTTAGTCAATCTACATTGCATGCTTAATTCTCTTTAATAGATGGAGTAATGTAGAAATCAATTGATACACAAAAGCAGCTCTTGGATAGAAGCCCCAGTTCTTGCTATTTCAACCTCACAAAGGCTTTTTCTCTAATCACAATACAGTTTAAAGTGTAAAATGAATATGAAATCTCAAAGCCTGTCCAGATAATTTCATCTTGGAATGCAGTTCTCATACTTTCTTAATATCATATGCTATATTTGCATATGCATAAGCTACATTCATATTCATTAGTATTCTAATGATATGGTATAAAACATGCATGAAAATCTGAGCTGTAGGAAGACAAAAGAAGTGCTAAACATACCTCTCCTCTTTCTCTTGGTGAGCACCATGACAACTAATGTGGAGGCAGACAAAATTGTTACACCAACAGCAATGAAAACCAGAACCCAGACAACTTGGTTAACTCTGCAATAATCACAGTTGCATTAATTAAAACAAGTTAATATTGAATTTGGCAGATTACCTTTGTATGTGAAGCACAAAGTTATATTTTACATGGGTTTCAGAGGAAAACAGAAAAATGAAAACAGTTTGAACTTGGTAGCATACTACCGGAGTGAAAGAAAAAGATCTCCTACAGACAACCATGCTAAATACTCTACTGTGAACCAGAACACTTCTGAGCTATAAAAAAATAGGTCTGGGAATGCTCAAAAATATAATAATCTGTTCATGGAAGAGGCAAAATCTACAACTGTTATCTTTGCTTTGATAATTGGTTGAAACTAAATGCAGTGTCTCAAAGTGAATAAGTAAATAGATCCCACAGCATGCACCAACTCTTGATTAATCTTTTCAAACTGCAATTTAAATGGTCGATACCTTTGTTCATCTTCACTGGATGCAGCCCCGATATCTTCCTTTTGCTGATCTGAAAATAAAATCATAACAAAAAAAGGAAACTGAAGTATTGACAGTGTCATTGCTGCTCTTCATAGATGAATTTTAGGTTTTCTTTTTTAAAAAAAAAATTACACCGCAGAACATCTATTTCTTTTTCTTAAACTCCTCCTTTTTTGCCCAGCAAGATCTAAATATGAGCACAAACAGTTGTAGACTAAAGTAGACAATGTGCAAGTTGTTGTATCTTAAGCTCAGAAGCTTTCTGGTATGTGAAGGCACTGCCCCTCCCCACCCCAGTCCCCATTATCTGTTAGCGCTCACCTTTTTGAACAATCACCCTAATGTTTCTTAAAGGGATTATATTGGGGCCATCAAGAACCCCAAACCAATATATCCCTGTATCTTCTGATTGGAGAGCTGACATGAAGACATAAATACATCCGTCTCCCAAATCATTTACAATGACACGTTGATCTGGTTGTGTAGTGAGACCTTTCCACCTTGATCCGGAGAAGCTTGTGAGCTTTTCAAGACTGCATTCTTCTGGCAGTTCCTCTTTGCACCAAACTCTCTCTGCTTGCGCATGTTGCAGGGAACAAAAAGCCTTGACACTGAGAGATTCTCCTTGTATCTTGATCACCGCTTGCATCGTCATTCCTGATGTGGTGGAAGTAAATGGCATCCTCATTGTTGGAGGTGGGGCAGTTTTATTAGGCAAGAAATGAACTAGGAAAAGAGCAGTTTGAAAAAAAAGGGTAAGTTTGGTCTTTCAAATATAGCAGTCTTATGCCTTACTTGTTACAGCAATAAGTATGGAAAGCATTCAACACAGTAAGGAGAATGAAGCGTCTGAATAATTAAAAGAAATCGTGACTTTTGTGAGTTCGCATGGCCCTTTAGGAATTGTCTCTACATGTATGTGCAGGTATAGTTGTTTTGGAGATTACTTAGGATTTTCCATTCAATAGCATCTCATTAATAGATCTTAGCTGGCTCAGCGGAAGTCATTCAGGGACTTCACGGAAAAAAAACAACCAACCCCAGTATATACTATGAAAAAGGGCATTTGCCTAGGTTTGACAACGGGGCATTGAAGTAGCAAAAATAGGTCAAAATGACCCTGCAGTAAATTATGTCCCCCTTTTAAATGTGTACTGCCCACATGGCACAGGTATAACAAGGATAGGGCTGCAAAGGTACAGTTTTTATCCAATCTGTTTTCCCTTAGAGATGCACCTGTTCAGAATATTAAACTGATGATGAAAATGATATGGGATAATACAGGTTATGTTTGGGTATTGTAACAAAAAATGGCATTCTGACAAAAATCGAGAATAGGATACAACAACACAGCTGCCACAACACATGTTCCTTCTGGAGCAAACTCATAGTCTTCCTGAACTATGGATATATTTTAAAATATGCCTGTTTACCTGAGGCTCAAGGTGAACCAAGGTATGTATCAAATATAAGATTGTCCATCACAAATCCCCATACATGCGGCTTCTTAGTCTCTGCCAACCAGAGAAAATATGGTACCAGCATCAATGTCACATTCTGAAAGTCCTTTTATCTGAGAAATAGTTACCCTCCCTTCCCCCTTGTCCATCAATGCTCACCATGTTCAACATAATGAACTACCACTTTGACTGAGTTTATGGAAACCATCTTCATACCGCTTAGAATTCCAAACCAATATCTCCCTGAATCTTCAATTTGCAGATTCTTCATGATTAAAGAAATGCAACCATTCATTACACCTTCAAGCATGATCTTTTGTTTTGCTTTAGAAGTCATATATTGCCATCTTAATTCATTTTGTTGTTTTTCTTTGCACCAAACGGGCTGTCCTTGCAAATATTGATAGGCACAGAAAGCTTTTATTCTGAGGGAGGTTCCTTGAGTTAGTACCACCTCTTTTGGGCTCTTTCCTGTGTTTTGCAAACTTGCAGTAGAAGGACTTGGGAATAAGTAAGATGGACAGGATGCAAAAAGACCTGGAACAAAAGCAGTATTGATCAAATTGACAGATCAAATACAACTCAAGCCTTGGCAATACAAGTTCTCCATAGGAGGCACAAAAGTTTCCTAGCTTCAACAGGATTGAATGAATGTATATTTGGAATTATCTGGGACAGCCCAGCCACTCACAGAAAGATGCCCTAAAGGAGGAAGAATATACATCCAATCTACATCTCTTTTGTATATGCTTTGCAGGGGATGGAACTTACCTGTCACTGTTTTTGAGATGGCCTGAAACCTTTTGGTATATGTGAGTTCAGCTCAATTGTGGTGTTAAAGTAAGCAATGGAATGTCAGATTGCTGAACCCCAAAAGGTTTTTCTCAAAAGACCATCTCAAAAAGCCTTGACAAACACGATGTGTTTTTAACGCATTACAAACCTTAATTCAGAATCTATTTGTAACCTACTGTACATGTACTCCAAACCAGTCTGTCTTTCCCTCCCTCCCTGAATTTCATCCCAATTTAAATCCCACATCAGTGTAGTCATTAAACTTTATGTATCTGTTGAACGGTGGCCCTTTAATAAAATGTGACAGTTTGGAAAGATCTACCAGATTGATCCTGATTTCTGACTACTGCCTAGTCATTGCTGGCTATCTATTAATAGAATTCTCCTCTAATGTCTTTTTTGACAAAAAAATGCCTATCTTTTTTCTTAAAAAGGTATTTGTTGATAGCACTAAATTTTTTACCGGGCCTGAAAGTACATCTGGCTAAACAGATTTTGATCTCTTAGAAAGGGTCACATCCCTTTTGTGACCACAAGATCCCTGCAATTGATGGGGCTAAAAAATGACCCCACTTTGTATTTTTGACTGAGTTAAAAGGAGAAGTGGATATCTTAAGCCTCTCTCTATAGATGCTAAAAGTACCAATCTCATCACTTAAAACTTCTGAAGTCACTTCCCCAAATTATTCCTGGCTCTTCACATGCATGGATTCAGGAGTAGCCTCTAAAGCCCAAAGAAGTTGCTCTCCTATCTTATTATCTTGGTATAAATCCCTAATCTTATTAGTGAAGTGTAAGAACAAAATCCATACATCACACATGTATTAAGTATGAATGAAGCCTGAGTAGGAATGTGTAGAATTGGGTATTTTCCCATTCTTAATGGAAAAAAATAGGAAGAAAACATAACATTCATTTGCAACTATTCTTAGAAAATGGATAAGCGGAGCCTCACAATATCATCAAACTTCTATATCGACCAAGAAAAGATAGTATTCAGTATCATACCTAGGAGCATCAACAGAAGTTGCAGGCCTGGGAAACCTTCCATCTTGTAACTGAATAGAGCAGAGAAGGCTGTGGGTAAATATGCCCTTGCAGGAAGGAAATAAATTCCCTTCATCATTGTCACTGTTGGTCTGGAGCTGTGTGAAAATGCTTTACAATGCCAATAATTGTAAATTGTCTGACGTGGATACATCTTAACATGTGTGCATACAGATTCACATATGTGTGATTCTTGAATAGTGGAGTAGTGGTGGAAATGTTCATCACTTTGAGATACTTTTTAAACAAACAAATCTGTATGAAAATAATAGTGACTGCCTCTGAGTAACTCCATTCATTCATTCATTCATTCATTCATTCATTCATTCATTCATCCATTCATTCTATGTGACTACCCATCTCATATATGACTCTGAGCTGCTAAAAGAATAAAAACATCATAAAAATATAAATAGCAAACAGAAGATGAAACCAACCAGCATGGTTGACAAGCTTAGTTACACAACCTGGACCCCAAGCTTGGCAACAAACCCAAGTTTTCAAAGCCTCACAGAAAGTCAGTAAGATTGGGGCAAGTCTAAACTGGTGAAATTATGTTCCAGAGGGCAGATGCCACAACAGAAAAAAACGCTCCTCAATAACCTGCCAGGTGCACTTCCCAGTAGATAGGACCTGGGGCGTGCTTCCCCCCCCACCCCAATGAATCTTACAGGATAGGTAATACAACTGGGGACAGATGGTGGTTCTGCAAGGAACTCAGCCCCATCTCAGGTTGGTGGCTATGTTCCAGGAAATATTAAAGTTAGGGTTTGTTTTTATATTTAATTAAATATCACGGTAATATAATTTGTAAAGGTGTTTTAAACAATTTCCTGGCTCTTTTATATTCAAAAGTACAGTTTGGTAACCAGTTTCAGATATCTATGAGTGTGCATCCAGAGGCTTCGGAGGCTACTGAATGCTCTTCTGAGACTTCCAATTCTACATCTTTACATTAGAGAAAGATGCTTTTGCTATTTGCCTCTTTAGGCATTAGATTCATGAGGTAAGTTGTCTTATTAGTCATTCCATGTTGCCCATAATCGCACACTCAAAAATATTACAGGAAGGGAGGTGTAAAGGTTTGTGATGTGTGGGTGTGTGAGTTTTTGTAGGATTTGGTATTTTTTATCACTTCACTAATTTATGAAGTTAGCTTATAAAAAACATGTACTTATTACTGATATCCAAAAGTTTATGTGAAAGTCAGTGGATGTACATGAACATATATGATGGAGGTGAGATGACGTTAGACAGGCAATAAAATTACATTTATGGTTAATATAAGACGAGATCTGAATTCAGCCCTAGCATTCGTAACAGCTTGTAACACACATCATCCAGAGGGTTTTTCCTTCTGTTATTTTGCTGTATGGGGAGAAAAAGGGCTCGGCACTCGATTCTTACCTTATCAGAGGAAATTAAGTTTGTTTTGTTCCTGTGCTGCCAATGAATAAACTAAGCAAAATGATACTTCAGGCAAGCAGGGGAAATATAAACCACAACCAAGAGAAGAAAGGGGGTTGTCCTATTTTTATAGCAAGACTATTGTGCAACTAGGAAACAGGCCTTGGACACTGGAAATGAGATTTGACTTCCATGTGCTCAGGCAGAAGTTTCAGTTAATTATATCTCCCTCACCCCACCCTGCAGCAATTTCTCAGCAGCCAGTTCAGTAGAAGGGGTTCATGCCACACAGTCACAAAAACGTTTCCTAACTACCAGGGACATTTTGTTCTAGGTAGAGTGATTGATCCCTGACAAATCACCACCCAGAATTGGCATTGGAGGACTTGTTATTAAAGGCATGGACTGATGAGTCTTCTACATAGATCACCCTTCACAGGTTTTCCTGGCAGAGCCATTGCTGGCTGCTGATTATTGGGGATCAGCATGATGGAAGTTGCCGTCCAATAAGTTAGCTTTGGGGTGTAAACTTTCAAAGATAACAGTGAATGTCACCCACATTTTCCTAGGAATACACCCCACTGACTGAACATAATAGCACCTACTTTTGAATAAGAATTAGGACTGCAAGGTAAATGTGGATGAAGATAGTGTCAGAGGAATGATTTGGGGTTCCAACTTGAATTGGGATTGCACAAGAATAAATAAAAATGAAGCCCAGATAGCTGTGGGGAAAGAAGAAATATTTATTTCTAAAAGCAAACTGTTTGCTTTTAGGGGTAGCTGCAGAGAATGGGATACAGTAGCAGACGTTTATAGGAGGGACTTGTCCAGGGTGAGGAAATGTGCTGATTCTAGAGTCATACTTGATGTGTGTGTGTGTGTGTGTGTGTGTGTGTGTGCGTGCGTGTGTGTTTATGTATTCTCGTGAGCATGCTGTAAGACTTAATTTAATCAACTCTATTGTGTTTGCAGACCTTATCCTTTGATATGTACAGGTGAAACTCGAAAAATTAGAATATCATGCAAAAGTTCATTTATTTCAGTAACGCAACTTAAAAGGCGAAACTAATATATGAGATAGACTCATTACATGCAAAGCAAAATAGTTCAAGCCATGATTTGTCATAATTGAGATGATTATGGCTTACAGCTCATGAAAACCCCAAATCCACTTTTGCACGATATTCTAATTTTTTGAGTTTCACCTGTAGATTAGGTCTGGGTAACTTATTTGGAAGTTTGAGGAAGTTTGAGTAAAGGACTTTCCCCTGTTTGCTTTTTTTACTTGATTAATTTAGTTTCAGCTTGACTGTCAGTTAACTAGTGGAGACACTGATTCTCAGACCATTGTGGATTCTGTTAAGGTTTTAAGGGAAAATGGAAACAGGATAAATAATAAAATATATTAGGATATAAAACTTCTCACAAGAGCTAATACAGGAAGCTGAATCATCTTTCAAACTACAGTTACTGAGATTTGAGATGCATAATCTTTTAGTGAAATCTCAGAATTTCTGCTTTACCCTAGAACTGGTTGGAATAAAAGAAAGGGGTTCTATTCTTCCTTTGTGGACCTGCTGTCCAGTTGAGTGCCTTGTTTTCAAATCAAGAAAGGAAGGAAGGAAGGAAGGAAGGAAGGAAGGAAGGAAGGAGACAACATGAGCAAGAAGGGGAACTCAGACTGCCTATTCTGTCCTTTTAAACTGCAAGCATCCTGACACAAGGCATGAATTAAAAGCATCTGGATGAGATAAATGAGATAAGATGGTGAGATATAGATATTTTCTAATGGTTCCCTGGTGCTCTTTTCTAGGACTATCACCTCTATTTGTGGTAAAATTCCTAAGGTTTTAATAGCTCCAATTATAGGAGCTAATAATTAAAGGTGTGCGAGTAATTTATTAGGAAGAGAAAGACAATTCAATGCACAAGACAAGGTTTATCCTTATGTCTTGCTAACTGTAGCAAGATTCCCTGCCAAACAACTTCAAAGATAATGTCTATATATTATTGCCTTTGTCTCATCCACAATCCATTGTAGAAGCTGTTTCAATTTTACAACAACAAAAATTTACAAAAATTTACAATAATTTCCCCCTTCCTCCAGCACAAGTCTTGCCATAAAGCCTATGATATTTCATTGATAAAATGGTGATGACTGATAATATGGTGAAGAAGGACATTTTGGCCTTTTCAGACTGTTGAAGATACTTCTGTTGCTGCACATTTTCTACCATGTCATTTTAACTTAGACTCTAAGGAGACAGCTGGATTTCTGACTTCTGCTAAGTGGCTGCTTGCATAATGCCTGACTGGTTTGGAAAGCACTGATGGGCTCTCTATATAGTTCCCTGCTTTCTTTTAAAGGGCACTTTTAAAAAATCTGTGTTTTTCAAATCTGTGTTTAAAAATCAGGTGGTGCTCCCTAAAGTGAATGCAAATCCAAGCAAGGGAGCCTGATTTTATCTTCTCTGTGTTTGTTCCTATCACAAATGAACACATTATAGAATCACTGCTGCTTCTGCTGAGAAAAATCAGCTTTACTTTATTCTGTTTTATTACTGGGAGATGGTGTAGGAAGTTAGCACCCACCCCTCTCCTAGAAAAATGAAATATCCTGGGAAATACTAAAAAGGTAGAATATTTCCACTAAAAAAAGTAGAAACTCAAGAGCAGAAACTCACCTCAGAAGCAGAAACTCACCCCCACCTTTGTTAATGGGTGGGCCATTAAGGCCTGGACCAGAGTAGTTTACATAATAAAGATCTTCAGGTAAAACTATAGCAATTGCTCAGAAGCTCTTTAAGGGCTTCATCATCCAGCAGGCTCAACCAAACCTGGAACTCAGGACATCCTACAGAGTTGCCCCTGCATGGCCTCATGGGAGTCTGACAACCAATCAGAATACAAACTCCAATTCAAATCCCAACAAAGGTTATAAAACTCACCCCTTCTTGACCTTCTCACCTTGAAGCATGTGATCATCTTTTCTTTTTCACTTTGGAGCTCCAAGCCATGCGGTCCTGATGTCCACCATTAAACCATCTTTCCAAATAGCCTTCATGTTTCCAGTGTCTTTTTCCCCACTTGGAACTGAACCCAGAAGGATATTTCTTCTAACAGTGGGAAGGAAGGAAGAAGTGCCATTTTGCTTACTTCTATGCTCCTGCCTACTTCATAGGCTCATTGGCTGCTTACTGCCTGTACTACCATTACTCCAAGCAATTTATGATTTGGGATATTTGTGTGAGATTGTGAAGAGACTGAGAATATACTGGAAGAGGTAACAGACATAAACAGTCAAGAAATGGCAAGCAGGTTCGTTGGCAGCTTAACTTAAAATGCTAAGTCAGGCCAGGTGACAAGAAACTTGGGAAGAAGCGTTTCAAATCAGAGATTCCCCCTTAATGAATTTCCTATAAATGAAGGTTGGAAATTCCTCTTTCAGTTTCCAAGATTCCATATTTACCACAAGAATAGCATGGAGGATACCTTACTAAAGGCTGCAAGGTGTCCAGAGCAGGGGTGGGATTCTACCGGTTCTGTCTGGCTCTACAGAACTGGTAACTCTGAAGAGCAGCAGACACAGAACTGGTTCTGTGTCTGTTGCTGTTTTGGCCCACCCACCTGCCCAGGCTCTTACCTGTCCTTTATTTCCTACTTTTTCAACTGCAGCTGTTTTGCGCGGCACAGCTGCATTTGAAAAAGCAGGAAAAAGGGCTTTTCCAACCGCTGTGCAACCGCATGCAGCGCTGCTCAGCTGTCCGGGATGCAACGCACAGCTCAGCAGGTCGTAAATTGCACTCGCACGATTCGCGCATGCCTGCGCAATGCACAGCAACAGGACTGGTAGTTATACCGGTTGGATCCCATCCCTGGTCTGGAGGGGGTACTCCCTCAAAAAAATCAAGATGGTAGATCCAATAGGCAGACTAACTTTGATCTCATTGTCATGCTGCCATCTTGATTCTCTCCCCCCAAACTCTGCAAGGACTCCTGAAAATGCATAGTAGATGGGCAATACCTTCCCACTTTAGCCTGCGTCCACTCACCTTGTGTTCAGCCTGTTAACCAAGCTGCTTTTTTGGACAGAAATGGAGCTGCATTCAGAAATAGCCTGAAAAAGCCCAAATGCAAAGAACATATTCATGCTGGCAATCTTTTTCTTGGATACCTTGAAAGGAGGCTAAGCACACCCCATTCCAGGCCCCTTCTATTCTCATCTAATCCTATTATCACACTACCAGGTTAACGTTAACAATTGGTTGCCCCCTTCCCCCCAGCAAAATATGATCGGCAGGGAGAGAAATGAATCTTTTCTTTACCAGCCTCCCTACTGAGGCTGCTTAGATCTTGGACAGCGGAGCAGCACAAGACAACACATACTTTTCTTCTGACTCAAGCATTATAGAAAGAATGTATATTAACATGGCCACGAGGAGCAACTCATAATATATGTCTGAATAGTTGCAAAAATATTTAGAATATTTCTGCAAAATAATAGAAAGGCTTTAATGTTAAAATGGCAGACCAGACTTTTAAACCAGGAAATTGTAGAGCTTGCCTTCTCAGTTCACATGTTAGCCTCAGTTCAAATATGTGGTCTATTTGATTATTTTGTTGAATCCAACTATTGTAATTTACAACCATGTCTTAATATGTAAACCTAGTTTCAAAATAAACATTGTCTGCATTACAACTTGAGAACACAAAGCCCCTGCGATGCCACAGTCTGTAAACTTCCTCTGGAAGGACTATGATCACAAAAGGAGTTCTATAACAAGGATGGAATAATATCACAGTGTCAAATTTGCAATCGGCTGAAGAATTTTTTCTACATTTAAACAATCATCTCTGCAGAAGATCCCTTAGACATTTTTTATTGATTATGTACCATGAAGTAATGCTTTATTCCTAGCAACCACATAAATAGTTCTTCTCTATGACTGTCTCTCTTTAACCTGATCTTTCAGGTCTTCCAATGATGTACCCATCACCACTGTTACCGAATCCATCCACCTTCCTGCCGGGCTTCTTCTTCTTCTTCTTCTTCTTCTTCTTCTTCTTCTTCTTCTTCTTCTTCTTCTTCTTCTTCTTCTTCTTCTTCTTCTTCTTCTTCTTCTTCTTCTTCTTCTTCTTCTTCTTCTTCCTCCTCCTCCTCCCTCTCCCTCTCCCTCTCCCTTTTCTTCTTCTTCCTCTTCTTCTTCCTCTTCCTCCCCTTCCCCTCCCCCCCTCCTCCTACCTTTCCTAGCATTAGAGTCTTCTCCAGAAAGGTGGGTCTTTCCAGAATGTCCCATTAGACATCTGCTTATATTACTTCATATATTTAATCTTCCATTTGAATGTCTCCATTCAAGGTTAGTTCACTTAAAGTTATACTAAATAATTGCATAGTATCAGGTGTGTGATTAATTGCATTGCCTATGAGTGATGAATAATTTTTTAAATATTTTCTTTTTATCTTTTAATTTTTTTGTAAAATATAAAAATAATTAGACATTTCCCTCATATTGATGCTACCAAAATTTGCAGTCTGTGTTCTGAACAGAGCCACAGGAGGTGTGCTGGGGTGTAAGATTACTGTATCTCAAAGCAAAGATCAAGGGACAGGGACTCACATGCACATTTCTTTTGAAAGAAGCATTTTCTGATATCCACATCTTTGTGCCTCCCTGTAACATTATAGGGGTAGGCAATGGACATCTATGTCAACAAAATGATCCTCCTCCAATTCATTCTCCCTCTCCTTCTCCCCCCCTTCCCCCCCTCTCACACACACACATATGTTGGGGAACATTTTTTTTAAATAGAAAAGTAGTGCTTATTTTGATTATTTGGCCAAACAATGACTTTTTGTTACTGAAGCAAACTGAAGTTTCTAACCCTGTTAGAAACATGGTCTTAATTTAATTATTACTTATATTTTTATGAATTATAGGCTTCTTCTGTGTTGGAGACAATTTGGTCTATATACTCAGAGAAGAATGATTCAGAGATCAGAATGGAAATTCCATTTTTTTATTCTTTTGTGCTGAGTGATATGTACATTTTGCTGCAACCCCTTATTTTTTTTTATGACATCCTCTGTTATGATAATAAGAGTGGAAAGAAGGAGAAAAGCTACATTTATTCTTACATGTGCAGTTTGCTCACCAAGATATGATGCAATTAATAGTATTAACAGTATTACTGCATTCATTTCAGATTCTCAATGCCTTGTTGGCCAAATTTGGCTGTGCAAGGGGAACTCCAAGCACCTGATCTAGACTCTTTGGACTTTTTCACACCTCATCTTCGGACTTTACCCATGGATACTGATCAATGGATTCTTATTTGTTCTTCTCCTGTCGAATTCACTCATGTGGGTTCTTTCCTGTTATGTTGGAAACAGGAACAGGCAGAAGCAGAATAAAATGAAATGAGGTAGAGAGACACATAAAGCCAATGGCCATAGCTGTTATAGGAGTTATTCTTTTTTTTAAACAGCAAAAATATGTTAGTATACTGACACTGTTTTTAAAACAATAGTTTTCATTTTTAACACTGAGATTTAGAAAAAAAGACTGAAAAAAGAAATTGCAATCTATTGTAAAAATTCAGAATCCAAAAGCAACACCGGCCAATGAGTCATTGGAAAAACTTGTGAGCTGCAGTTGTTTGCGTGATTTCAAAGTCCTGACTCATTGCTTCAGTGTCTGCATTAAAAATGGCACGGAGGGTTTGTCTAGAATAGCAAGAGCATCTGAAACAGTAAGTTCTCAGGATCTATTCGGTTCTTCTTCCTTCTGGTAATAATTAAAATGACAATAGGAGCCAGCAAGTTCTCTGTTTCTGAGAACTTGTGAGGTACCTAGGAGAAAAAGAAGATTTGAGTTGGACCTGGCATAGAAACATAAAGTGAAGTGCTCACTCAAGGAGGCACAGTACAAGCAGTCATTTGCAAAGCAATGCATAACTGTGAGATCTTTTATGCTTTCCAGGGCGATCATTTTTCCAGAGTAACTGAAAATGGACTCTAGAATTCTGGGATGTTACTGGAGTTGTGAAAAGTGCTCAATTCTACAGGACCCCTGGTAGCTCTTCTTGGCAGTGGAACTCAGGAAGCTTTTGTTTTGCAAGTGTCAACATGCCTATTTCAGCTCTTTCTGTCTCATAATTTTCAGCCTTTCATACAAAATGAATATATTGCGATGTGGGAGCATATACAGTTTTCTGCACTCTTTTAACTTTTCTACATAAGGTATCTTGAAGAACAAACCTCTCTGCTATAGCCAGCTTTCAGTTTCTTGTATTCAGAATACTATTTCACATTGCGTGGACGTAGGTAATAGAACTCATACCACAAGATGGCTTTAATGGCAATTAGACAAATTTAGCGGACGATAACTGACGGTGACTGATGGGTGCCATGCATTACCTAGATCAGAGCTAGGTAACAGTAAGAGAATGATATTGGTTTCCTGTATTGTCTGTGGGATTTTTAAAAGACTCTGGTTGGCTATTAGATGAGATAAGGTTTGGTTTAATCTTATATGACTCTTTTTATATCCTTATGCCGTCACCTGTGATGACTGGGAGGTGAAAATGCAGGTTTTCTCCTCTGCTCTCATTTCCAGTAGTTCTCTTCTTGTTTCTGGCAATAATTAGGATAATGATAGCAACCAGTAGTTTGAAACCGAGAAAGCCAGCCACCAGGAAGGTGAGATTGACTCCAGCATTTGAAGAAAAGCTTTGAAAAAACACAAATACAATATATCTGAATTAGATAACGTAGAATGAAAATGTTTATTTAAAAAGGGGACTTTGGGTATTGTTTGGCGAAGACTAAAGCTCAGTCACAGAGCACTTGCTTTCCAAGAAGAAATCCTAGGTTCAATTTCTAAATTATCCGGATTAAAACTTAGAAATGGAAGTTGCAGTGAATCCTTGCTGTTCAAAAAAGACAACCAGCATCAGATGTTACTGAACTCAGAACATTTTTCACTACCTTTAAGCAGTGCTTTCTAGGAAAACTGATAGTAGAGATTATTGGTGTGAAGTGAGTGGACTATGTGGGCTTCTTACTTTGCATTCCCAACTGGTTTTTGTCACCTTTGCCATCTTCACCCTTTGATTTGTCTATATTGCATCTTTTTCTTGTTTTTAACATTTTTATTTATAATTGCCCAGAGTATTTTGAAATTGGGCTGTATATATATATATATATATTGAAAATATTAATGTGAATAATAGTTCACCAACGTTTTCTTCTCTTTCTCTGGAATTTCTGGTTCCACATTAATTGGACACACAGAAAGTGTCAATATAGGTTGGGATGTGAATTTGCAGGAGAGCCTGATTTTCAGTTTAGCCATTATACCCCCATACAGAAAGATATCTCCACAAATCTAAATTGTGCAGTATAATGTTTGTCCCATTTGACCAAACAGTTTTGGTTTAGTTATGAAACTCACTGATTTTTCAAACCCACTACCAGGTTGAATGGGGATTGCTGCTCTATCAAGGGGGAAATCACTTATGAATTCCCTCAACGATAACTTCTCATTCTCTGCAGGGTGTCTATGGGCTGCTGGGGTGTCAAAAAGGTGAAGAGGGCAGCTGTGACCGTACTATTGAAGCCTCCTCTCTTATTGCATGTAAAAACAGGATAACTCTCTGATTATATAGTCTGAACTGCTACCTTACCTTTTTGGATCCTTCTGCAGATTTTCCTATCCTGTCCTATTTATTTTAGAATATGCATGCAGTTAATGCTAAGAATACTCAAAGTTAGAGAATGTGCTTTGGAGATATGAATGTCTATATTTATTTTACATTTGTCTTCAATCTGGCTGGGGAATTCTGGGAGTTGAAGTCCATACATCTTAAAATTGCCAAGGTTGAGAAAAACTGGTTTAGAGCAATGAGGCGCTTTCTTTTTCCTTGATGTGTACCAAAATCGACCCCAATTTTTCTTAGTTTAATGTTATTTCTGGCTGAAATTTTAAAAAATGTCAGTAGACCAGAAAGTTATAATTGGGCTTCCCCCAGTCAAATATGGTCTCACAGAGGGTAAAAAAGGGGGGCGGCAGCCTCTGTGCAATCTGTGCTATGCTTTGGGGGTGATTTGTATGCACAATTTAAATAAAAAGGGGCTTTGGTCATGGCTCTTACTTAACATTTCTTATTTTCTTTCTTGTTGAAAGTCTGGTTGTCAACCCTGATCATGGCTGAGGCCATCTTGGAGGCTTCAGGGTAGCCACACAACCCTGGGGGGAAATAGTTAGATGGGGTTTTGTAGCCAAAACAGTAAAGCTTTCCTGTGGGAACCAAGGGCATTCTCACAGGTGACTGGCCAGAGGAGAGTGAAGTAACCAAGCAACCAGCCAGCTCCTGGATTGGACAGCATGACCAGTGACTGGGAGGGGGGAAACTTTTACTTTTAATTAGGTGAACGCTGTGGGAACTTTTAGAGTTGGCTTTCACCAGTTGTGCCAATATGATATACCCAATAAAACTGTTCTTTGAGGAATTTGCCTGCCTTGGAGTTATAATTTCTATGGGTGCATTACTTGGAACACTGACACTTGTGATGATTTCCAACAATGTGGAGCAGTGGGGGCAAAAAACCCCAAAGTGCCCCATGCCGCATATATACCACAATATTTTTAAAGCTCTTTCTTCCAGATAGGGCTTCACAGTAGGGACCAATTCCCACTGGGGAAAAAATAGCTTAAAAAAAAAACCCTGAAGCGAAAGGCACCATCCAGTGTCTGTTTCAAAACCTACAACAAAGCAAGAGCCTCACTTTCTGTGTCACTCCGATCCACTGTAATGCAAATCAGACCACTGTGAAATTCTTTCTGATATTTAATTAAATCCCTCCTTTCACTAATCCAAGCCTATTAATGTTGAATTGCACACTCTGCTGCAGAATGAATAAAAAAAGTACATATAGTCTTACCCAGAGATGCTGTGAAGGATTCTGGGTGTCTCTTGTACATTAGAATTCTCTATATCTGGTGGCAAAAATGGCAATAGTACATAATTAAGTCAATAAGAATAAATATAATAAACATACCATTGAGCAAGATTAATTATTATAAATAGTGGATTCAATTCAGTTCAACTGAAAGCGAAGAGGTGCTGAAGAAGAAATTCCCCAGGCCTCCCATCTTCGGAACTGGACATCCCCTTGGCCTCTACTTCTCCATCCTGAAATGTACATAAAGATTCCCAAACTCCCACTCCTTTCTTCTCTTTGCAGCTTACCAGACATTCTAGCTTTTTCTTTCTCTTTTCATTCCTCTCTTTGCATAACACAGGGGTGGGGAACTATGGCCCTTTTATGACTTGTGGACTTCAATTCCCAGAATTCTTGAGCCAAACATGCTGGCTCAGGAATTCTGGGAGTTGAAGTCCAAAAGTCACAAACGGCCTATAGGTGCTTTTTCAAGAGGCAACTGGATTTTCTGGTTTTTCTTTGAAGATGTTTAGCTTCTCACCCAAGAAGCTTCTTCAGATCTTGGCTGACAAGCAAAACATCTTCAAAGAAAAACCAAAAAGCCCAGTAGCCTCTTGTAAAAGCACCTTTGGGACAACCATGACCTGGATGTCTGAGAATCTCCATACACATAAAGTGGCCATAGTTTTCACCTCTGGCGCAACAGGTTAAAGCTTCATTGAAATCAGGGTTTGTAACCACAAATCCAATTATTTTGAAGATGACACAGAACAGGTTTAGGACTAAAGACTTACTTGTCAGAACATTCACCTTGACCTTCTGCAGGGTCTTCACAGTCCCCAAGAAATTTGTCATACACTGATACCAACCAGCATCCTGTTTCTGGAGTGGGTTGATGGTTACCATGAGCACCCCTTCCTGGATATTGTCAGCAATGGCAGTGGTGCCATTTCTTCGCTTGAGGAAGGGCAGCCAAAAACGTCGGGCACTGACAACATGCTGGCATGTTGCCTCACTTATGTGCTTACACCAACTTTTCTCTCTCCATTGGTTTTTCTGAGGACTATAGGAGCAATTGATGGAAATGGGTCCTCCTTCAACACCGGAAACCTCTGTAATTATCTCAGCTGTAGACACTTGTTGAAAAGAAAGAAAAATCTTCTATTTTTGCACAGAGGGGCAATTAGCCTGCAAGGCTTGAATTGCATTATTCACAGTCTCGTATAGATCCATACATCTAGAATAGTAATGTGTTCTAGTTCCCTCCATCAACAATTACTATACTAAAATTCTTTCTGATCTCCCTTTTACTAGTCCCCCCCCGCTTTCCTCTCCTTTTGAATATTCTTTTTTCTCCCAATAATATTCTAAGCATCCAACCAAGTCATCTGTGGTCCATGAAATCTGATGGCAAAATAAATTTTCATTTTAATATTAATATGTAGAAAAAAAGGCATTGAAAGTGATTCTTTTTATTCTGCCCTAACATGATTCACATCTTAATCGTTTTTCCATAGCTTTATCACTTATATTTGAAATTATAAAAAAAATTAAGTCTGTCCAGCTGGAGGGACATGTTAATCACTTAGCAGAATTCTTACTGAGTTGAGATACATCATAATTAAAAAAAAAAACCTGTTTAAAAAATGTCATGAGCAGAAAGCCCTTCCAGTTCCTACTGGACTCTTTCATACAATCCATTGAACAATAACGTATAGCCAATTAATTATATCACCAATACAGAAAGGCAATTTCCTACCTGACAAGTAGACCAGGAAGATGAGATACAAAAGCTTTTTCATGTTTCTGTGGGAAATCAAGAGGTGCTAATTAAAACAGAAAAGAGAGACTTGTAACCAGACAAATACTTTGCTTTACTAGAGACAAGGGTTGAAGAAGAGGAACTTAAGTTGCTCCCTGTTGTAGATTAAGCAATGCCCAACCCAAAAAAAGTCTGGCATTTGCTAAAAATGTGAACATCAGCAGTGATGAGGGACTGCTATATCAGGGAAAGAAATCATGATGATCATCAAGGGTGTCTTCAGTGTTGACAGTCAACTACAAATCATTCACACTCAAATTTGGAGTCTCCCTGATGAATTGGTAATTTCTAATGATATAGCTTGCCACTAGGAATATTAACAGGCAGTCAAATGTGGCACAAACATACACTGGAATCCAGAGATTTAGAACACAATCTTATATTTGAAAAATAATTTTTGTAATATCAGGCCACTAAGACGTCTCCAGTGTCTTGCTGGCTACTGGCTGGCACTGTCTATATTAAGCCAAAAGAGATATTTGCACTTCTTTGTCTTTTTTTTTCTTAAAAACAAAAAATAAAAAATTCCTATTATGTGCAATGAGTGAGAACTCCTTCAGGGGAACTCTGGAATTGGTTTAACTACATTTTGGATGTAGGATCAAGTGAAGAGCTGGAAGTATTGAGGAACACAAAGATCCCCGGTGCTTACTCAGTTTGGACCTAATGCCAGCCCTGGATATAATGTTAGCAATTATATGTATTATGCTGAGTTCTCATGTTAAACCAGCATTTTGTACACTTTGATTAGAAATAAGCAGAATTAAAAGAGATCACTCATCTTACATAACAGCTTACTAAGCAAAGGTACTCAACTAAACTCACTGTCAGGACTTCGGTTCTGACTTGGTCAAGGCTGACTTAACCTTCCAACCTTCTGAGGTCAATAAAATAAGGACCCATATTGTTGGTTGCAATATGCTGACTCTGTAAACAGCTTAGAGAAGACTGTAAAGTACTATGAAGTGGTATATAAGTATGATTGGTATTTGTTTACATAGTTTCAAATTAGTGATCCTGTAGTACAGACTATAAAATCTAGTGGTATTGTAAGGCTACCACTGTTGCAACCAAAATCTTAAAAAATAATTCAATCTGCATACTTATAGATACTTTCTACAGGAATGAACATTGTTCTTTTTATACTGCATTTTCTTCTGACCTTATGCTTGTAATTCCTCCTCAATATGTGTATGTAAATGTCAGCTAGGGATGGACCGTCACTCCTCTGATGAAATGGACATCTGTTTACAAAACTTACGCTATAAGTTTATGCCACAGACTACACTACAACTACTATTTTGGAAATCAGTAAACTAAATAGATACTTGAGTGCCTTTTAAAATTTTGCTATGGTGGTTAAGCTTGGAAATTGGCTTATTGAGTCCAATTATTTCAGAACTTTGACAGAGCTCCAAATTCAGGCTAGATTAATTTCATCACTTGGCTTCTTTAGGGCACAACAAATCATATTGTGGAAAATATCTCAAATCATTCATCATACCTGCGACCTTAACAGTCACTTCCTATGTATATTTTGGTCTGTTTCCTTGGTCTTGGTTCCTCTTCTTTTACTCTCAGATCTGTACCTTCTGTTTGCATATTTAATAGCTCCTCCTGTCTGCTTCCAGTTGCAAGTTATTTTTATTCCTGTTACTCCTTACATTTTTTTCTTGTTTTCCACTTGCCATATCTAATAGTTTGGGGTATGTTGCAGGAGAAAGCCCTATATTTGCTAGTTCTTCAAAGAAATAAACTGAGAACATGCTTTATTATGGAAAATTATTCTGTACAACTTCCAATTAAAGATTTAAAAAAAAGCAAAAGAGAACCAGGCCTGAAAGCTTGCATGCAAATTCACAAGCACAGAGTCTAGGGCACAATCTTCCTGATACCCTGTGATGGCTGTATTTCAGTTTGAACTACAAGGATATTTTCTATTTCTGTATAAATTAACATGTTACAATAGTATAAAAGCCTATATTTTATGTTGTCCTCTTTTTTATTACCTGTTTTCTCTTGGGGAGGATAATGCTTATATGATTATCACTAACAGTGTCCATAGTCCGGGATTTAGGGCATCAATATCAGAGGAACCATTAAGATCCCCATAGTATATTGTATATACCAGGGGTCTCCAACCTGCAATCTTTTACTCTGTGAGAGGAGAGGATTTCCTTTTATAACTTCTGACTATAAAGAGTCTTCCCATCCTGCCTCTTTATGTCCTTTTTAAAGATATTCAGTGATCACAAGCTTTTATCTTTTTACCTCAGAGAAACATGGAAGTTGATTATCATGTAAATTGTTCTCACTGCTTTCCCTTATTTTCTCTCTTTCAGTTTTGCAATATTATTTTAGGACTCTGGTCCTCAGCATGTCTTCAGTGAATAAACTGCCCCATAAATGAAAAGTTGCCTTTGATTTGCATGTATTGAGTTCCAGCTAGAAAAGTTTATTTCTGACCTGTTAATTGGATATCCCCTCAGGTGGCATGGCTGGGAAAAGTGATTTTTCCCTATTCCTTTTCATCCTTGCAGATAGATAGATAGATAGATAGATAGATAGATAGATAGATAGATAGATAGATA